TGCGGGAAGGGATTCACCACCTCTTCCACTTTGCTAAATCACCAGCGGGTTCACACTGGGGAGAGGCCGTTCACCTGCCCCGAGTGTGGGAAGGGATTCAGTCAGTCATCCAACTTGCTGACACACCAGCGAGTTCACACTGGGGAACGGCCATTCATCTGCACCAAGTGTGGGAAGAGATTTGCTCGTTCATCCAACTTGCTAACACACCAGCGAATTCACGAGGAACCACAGTGATTGAAGTTTGCTCTTAATCACATTCAGGCTTGAACCATGTTCAATGGGCTCTAGTTCTGCTGAGATTAATAAACCCAACCTAATATGGGTGTTAATACTCTGTAAATTAAATAAATTACTTTTGTCTTACACATACACAAAATATATTGTCTTCTTAATTTCTCGAATGCAAGATTGTTCCTTTTCAAGGGCCATCTCTGACCTCCCCTCCAACAAAATGTGCAAAGAGCTTATGGAGCTTCTTTCTGGCTAAGATTGAGACAATCTGCTGCCTCTGCTGCTTGCTGTCCCCTGCCACTGGGGTCAATCTGTCCCTGAAATTTTTGGGATTTCTTCTAACTTCCTTTAGGCAGTCTTCCTATTGTCTCTGGTGGTCGTATAGTTAGTTGAAGCCTGTTCCACACAGACACCCCTAGTGGGAGCAGGGGCCTGCAGTGTTGGAGAGAGAGAGATAAGTGTAGGGCCAGGCAGAGTTGTGGAGAAAGCTGTCTGAATTGGTGAACCATCGCTGCACTCCCTATGGCAAGTATACCATTCCTTAGGCAAGGATACCAGACCTGTACACAACAGTGCAGGTGCAGTCACACCAATGTTCCAGATATTTTCTAATCAACCTATTTAGAGAGTTTATTACACTGGAACAGGTGGGACCTGAACGCAGGTCTTCTAGCTCGAAGGTAGGCACATTATCACTGTGTCACAACAGTCCCTCACAAGTATTCTATACAATTGAAACTTCTTTGCTCCTGTACTCACATCTGCTTGCCATAAAGACCAATATACTGTTTCCTTCCAAATTTCTTGCTGCTCCTACATGTGAGTTTCCAGTGAGACTCTGAAGTGGCTTTGGACTTTAACACTTGCCAATCTCCTACAGTTTAAGAAATAGAATCCCTACAGTATGGAAGCAGGCTATTCGAAGAGCATCCCACCCAGACCCAACCCACCCCCTCCTACCTTATCCCTGTAACCCTGCATTTCCCATGGCTAATCCACTTAACCTACACATCTTTGGACTATGGGAGGAAACCCACACAGACATGGGGAGAACGTTCATACTCCACTCAGACCGTCACATTAGTGTGGAATCAAACCCAGGTCCCTGGTGCTGTGAGGCAACAGTGCTAACCATTGTGCCACCATTCTGTCTACTGTGCCCTCCTACCACACCTCGCACACACCTCCACATTGCTGTGCTGTTGTCCACTCACAGCCTATTTAAATTGCCTTGAAGTCTTTGCATCCTCACAATGTACATTCCCACCAAGTTTGTATTACAATTCATGTCCACATCCAGGTATTTTCCTAATCAACCTATTGAAGGATATTATTACACATCTTTGGAGCTGGTAGGACTTGAACCTGGGTCTTCTGGCTCAGATGCAAGGACATTACAACAGCACCACAACAGCCTTCACTCCCACATTCATCTTTCTTTCTTATATATCTGGAAGTGCTATCACACACAACCAAACAAATGTTTCCACCACCAAACCATCTGTGGTAATTTTCACCTCTTGAACACTACCATTAAATCACCTGTGTTTTCCAATAAAGATGAAGGAGAGGCACATCCAAATAATTAACATAGATAGTGAAGAGCTGAGTGGGGCTCATGCAGTAATCCTTGTTGCACTTCATTAGCCTGCCATCTTGAGAAGAACTCATTTTTTGCTTCCATCTGCATTATGCCTGTTACAGAGTTATACAGCATGGAAGTAGACTCTTAGATCCAATTAGTCCATGCCGACTATGCTCCCAAACTAAACTAGTCCCACTTGCCTGTGTTTGGCCCATATCTCTCCAAACATTTTCTATTCATGTTCTTATCCAAATGTCTTTTAAATTTTGTAACTGTACCTGTATTCACCACTTCCTCTGGTAGTTCATTCCACACGTGAACCACTCTTTAGTTTTGGACTCCCTTACCCTGGGAAAAAGACCTCGGCTATTCACTTATCATGCCCTTTATGATTTTTATAAACCTCTGTAAGGTCACCCCTCAGCCTCTGACACTCCAGGCAAAATAGCCCCAGCCTATTCAGCCTTTCCCTATAGCTCAAACCCTCCAACCCTGGCAACATCGTTGTAAATCACCCTGATTACTGCAATCCCCTTCCTACATCTAATTTCTTAAAAAATACAATGCCCTAAATTACTGCCTTGGTTGGTGACCTACAAACCACTATTATCAATGTCTGTTGTCATTTGCTGTTTCTTAGCTCCACCCGGATACTATGTACTTCACTTCTGATCAGAGATCCTCTCTCACTAATACACTGGGCAACCCCCCCGATCACTTATCAGTGCTAGCCTACCTTTTTTTTGCCCATTTTCTAAATGTCAAATATCCGTTAATATTCATTTCTCAGTCTGGTCATCCCACAGCCATGTGACAATTAAATCGTACCCATTTACTTCTACTAGAACCATTCACCTATCTGATTCAAATTGTATGCATATTCAGATAGAATATTTTCTATACCATCTGAATTCCCTCTTAGATTTCCATCCCCCGACTATCTAGTTTATACACTTCCCATATACTTTAGCAAATCTTTCCAGCAGGATATTAGTCCCGGTCCTGCTAAAGTGCAACTTGTCCTCTTTGTACAGTCTCCATCTGCCCCAGAATTCCAAAGCCCTCTCTATGCAGCATTTTCCACCCATATATTCATTCACTGTTCAGTGACTGCTGCTTTAGTGTTTGTTTCTCTCTGCTCAAGACAGCTTCCAAGCAAAGACTATTCAGTGTTGTAAGAATACTGAACAGACCAGATTTTTTTTAGGATTTGGCTTGATAGACCACTATTATTCAAAGAAAATAACTGGGAAATTCAAGGAGCAAGAAAATGAGCAACAGGACTCAAGGATTAAATGGAAACAAAATAATCTTTACTATGCAAACTTAAAATATAAGACAAGCAGTAATGACGAAATAGGTACAGTGAATCAGTAAGATAATTATTCTAAACCATACACATTATATATACATTAATATTAACTTGAGGAAAATATAAGTTAAAACTGTGGTTGAGCAGCCTACAATAATTGGCCAGTGCAGTCAAGACAGATTCCACTCAGATCTTAGGGACACTGTAGGTCACCCAATTTAATTAAAGCTCTTGCCTCCTTCACAGGAAATTCCAAATCTTTACTTTTGAAACTTTCACATTGAAACACACTCGGAGCCACTCTGACTAGGACAAGCTGAAGGACTGCTCATGCCTTGGGCGTTCAGTTTCTAACCAGACAATGGATTCCCCAGGACTGCTGAGACTGTTCCCAGCACAGTTCTCAGCACAGTCTCAGCTTTTATCAAATGTCTAGATTCAGTGAGTTGCTGATGTATTTCTGTAAGCTCCAACCTTTTTCAGTTGCAAATACTGCTGTGGGTTTCTTTTGTCCCGCTCCCAACTACACCAAACAATCAATGGCTCCTGGGGCTTCTTTTTGATGTAACTGGTTTCCTTGGCATTGAGTTATCACTCCACAAGTCTTCTCCTAATTTTCCACCTCAGCACTCTCCCAGCTCCAAACTGCAACTAACTTCTCCCAACAAACACACATCAAGATAAATCAAAACCAAAGAATCTTCTTAAGTTACACCCAGCTTCATGATGAGAATGCCTGCTCTGGGCTGTATTTAACCTGACATTCAAAGGTTGGTTGAACATATTTTATCTAACTTAGGCCAACACCTGCTGGGCTGCCATTGCTGCTGGCTTTGTAGACACCACATCACCAGCTAAGAATATGAAAGAAAGCTATGTGAAATATTTTAAAAATATGGCTTTATAGAGTTTTTAATCAATATATTAGAAAGAAGAGTTAACAAAGTGAACATTGGTCCTTTTCAATGCGAGTCTGGGGAATTAATATTGGAAAACAGAAGTTGGCAGATGAATAGGTATTTTACATTGGTCTTCACTACAGAGGATACAAGATCCCAGAAACAGTTTTAAATTAGGAAATGTAAAGGAGGAACTCAAGAAAAATGCAAATCTCTAGGGAACTGAGCAAATTGTTGAAATCGCAGGTTAACAAGGTGTTGATCGATTTTATCCCAAAGATGTGGCTGGGAAGTTAACGAGTGGTTCTAATTTTCCAAATTTCGGTAGATTTGAGGAGGTTCCATGAAATACAATGAATTTCTTTTTTCAAAATCAACATGAAACAGAACAAAGAAGCTACAAGCCAGTTAAACATCTACCATAAGTAAGGTGTGAGAATTGATTATTAAATAAATTATGGCAAGGCACATAGAAAAGTCTAAGATAGTGAGGCAGAGTCAACATGGTTCTGTGAAATAAATTGTGTTGAACCAATTTGTAGAGAGCCTTTTGGGCTCATAAGGGAAATTCACAATCTAATAAAGGACTTAGATGAAGGGAAAAAAGATGCAGTTGCTACATTTGCTGACAACCCAAGGATTGTTGGGGAAAATAAGTTGTGAAGGGGATATGAGGAGGCTGCGAAGGGATAGACAGGTTAAGTGAGTGGACAAAGACCTGGAAAATGGAGTATAATTTGGGAAAATGAGAAATTGTATTTAAAAACTTTGAAATAGTGAGATATTGCAGTGCTGTGAATCTGCGAGCCCTAGTGCATGAATTGCAGATGGACAGTATACAGTCACAGCAAGTAATTAGGAAATTCAATGGAATAAAAGAGCATTGAGGAGATTTGAATTTCTTTCCAAATTCAAATCATTGAATGCGAGTGTTGTTGGCTAGGAAGAGTCGACCATATAGCTGTGGATCTGGAGTCTCTGGGAGGCCACATCAGGCAAAGCTATCAGAATTCTTTCCCTTAGTGAACCAAATAGGTTTTTATGGCAATCAGCAGCATGTACATGGCTGCCATTAAGCTGGCTTGTTTATGCCTGAAGATAAAAGTAAAGGGTCGTACATCAGATATACAGGTATTAGTGAAATCACATCTGGTCTAGTCATAAAGCACAGAAACCTTCAGTCCAACTCATCTGCACCAACCAGACATCCTAATCTGATCTAGTCCATTTGCCAGCATTTGGCCCATATCCCTCTCAACCTTTTCTATTCATATACCCATCCAGATGCCTTTTAAATGTTGTAATTGTACCCACCTCCACCACTTCTTCTGGCAGCTCGTTCCTTACACACACCACCCTCTGCGCGTAAAGGTTACCCCTCAGGTTCTTTTTAAGTCTTTCCCTCTCGCCTTAAACCTATGACCCTAGTTTTGGGTTCCCCTCCCTACGAAAAAGATCTTGGCTATTCATGTTCCTCATGAGTTTATAAAATCCTATAAGGTCGCCCCTCAGCTTTCGACGTTCCAGGGAAAAAGTCCTAGGCTATTCAGCCTCTTCCTATAGCTCAAACCCTTCAATCCTGGCAACATCCTTGTAAACCGTTTCTGCACCCTCTCAAAGTTTAACAACATCCTTTCTCTAGAAGGGCAACCAGAATTGTATGCAATATTCTATTACTGGCCTCACCAGTGTCCTGTTGTGTACAGTATTAGTCATGTTATTTAAAGGAGGATGCAAGTGCATTGGGAGCAGCTCAGAGATTTACCAGACTAATACCTGGAGTGGGCAGGTTCTCTTATGAGAAATAATTCTTCAAGCTGGAGGGTCACTGTTACAAAATAATAGGTTGCCCATTTCAAGAGATGAGGAGAAATTTCTCTCAGTGGGTCGTGAATGTTTGCAATTCTCTTCATCAAAAGGCGGTGAGCATATTTAAGGCAGAAGCAGAGGGTTTTAATCAGCAGCAGGGTTAAAACACATCAGAGGTAGGTGGAAATATAGAGTAATCACTTCAGTTATAAGCTTATTGAATGGTGGAATGGGCTCAAAGGATCAAGTGATCTACTCCTGCTTTTAATTCATGTTTGCATGTTCATATGTAAGTAATGAAAAACTCCTAACCCTAAATCCCAATTTCTTACAGCAAATCCCAACATTATATCTGGGTTTCTTCTGGGAAACCCCTCAGCTCTATATCTCTTAACCATTGGGATAGATGTTACTAGCCATCCACAACAATTTGATAACTGGACCACTTACATGGAGCTAATTAGCTTTGCTTCACTCTGAACTGCTAACTACAGTTTGTATCAAAACAGGAGGCTCTAGAACTGGTGGTGTTCTGGCCTCTTCTTGACCAGAAACACTCTCTCTTAAAGCACAATCTCTGGCATTTAAAAAGACATGCGATTTAAAATGTTTCATGTTGTGTCTAAATTTACTATATGATTTTCCAGTTTTAAGCTTTATTATCTATGCAGATATGCCACAGAGATTAACTTTTAACTCGTCTGGCTCTGATTCTGAGAACATTGACCAACAATCAATTCCTGACAATTTCCACTTGTCCCCCATTTCTCTTCATTCAACTTGGATTTCTGTCTGAGATTTTGCTTTCTTTTAATTTCCAAGCTTCAACATTAAACTAGCACTTTTGTTGGAATCCTGACAGACTTCAGGGAAAGGAAGAAACTAGAGTCAATCTTTACTTGGAATAGATTTATTTACAGAGTGGAACCTTACAGGTATATATCTCCTGATTTCACTCTACTCTGTCAATAAGTGTCCTTTTATATGCACTCGTGTAACCATCCAAGCAATGACATTCCACCAGTGTATACTTCACCTCAGTTGATACAACTAACACCCACGGTCAGTGAATTGAAAAGGTTTCTACTCGATGTGGCTACCATGGTGTCTGAGCAAGGTGGATGACTCACTGAAGCCCTTTCCACACATAAAACAAATGAATGGCCTCTCTCCAGTATGAGCACGTTTGTGTTTCCGCAGGCTGGATGAATCGATGAATCCCCTCCCACACTCTGAGCAGGTGAACGGCCTCTCTCCAGTGTGAATGCGTTGATGTATCAGCAAGCTTGATGACTCAGTGAATCCTTTCCCACACACAGTGCAGGTGAATGGCCTCTCTCCAGTGTGAACTCGCTGGTGCCTCAGCAAACTGGTCGATCGAGTAAATTCCTTGCCACACACGGAGCAGGGGAATGGCTTCTCTCCAGTGTGAGCCATCTGGTGTCGCAACAGGCTTGATAACTGAGTGAATCCCTTCGCACACATGGAGCAGATGAATGGCCTCTCCCCGGTGTGAACACGCTGGTGTGTCAGCAGGTGGGATGACTGAGTGAATCCTTTCCCACACATGGAGCAGATGAATGGCCTCTCCCCAGTGTGAACGCGCTGGTGTGTCAGCAGATGGGATAAGTGAGCAAATCCCTTCCCACACTCGGAACAAGTCAATGGCCTCTCCCCAGAGTGAATTTGTTCATGTTTGCACAAGCTTGACGAATCAGTGAATCTCTTCCCACACTCAGAACAGTTGAATGGCCTCTCCCCGCTGTGAACTCGCTGGTGCTTCCGCAGGCTGGATGAATAATTGAATCCCCTCCCACATTCAGAGCAGGTGAACAGGTTTTCCCTGTCATGTAATCGCTGGTGTCTCCGCAGGTTAGATGCAACAGTAAATTCCTTTCCACACATGGAGCAGATGAAAGGCCTCTCCCCAGTGTGAACTCGCTGGTGTCTCTGGAGACCGGATGAAGCACCAAAACGCTTCCCACACTCAGAGCAGGTAAAAGGCCTCTCCCCAGTGTGAACCCATCCATGTGTCAGTAGGTCAGGTGCCTTTGTTAATACTTTCCCACACTCAGAACCTGAGAATTGCTGCTCTCGGGTGTGAACTCGCTGGTGTAAATGCAAGTTGGATAACTGAGTGAATCCCTTCCCACACTCAGAACAGCTGAATGGTCTCTCCCCAGTGTGACCACGTCGATGTGTTTCTAGCTGTGATGGTGCTTTGAATCCCTTCCCACAGTCCCCACATTTCCATGGTTTCTCTGTGGTGCTGGTGTCTGTGTCTCTCTCCAGGTTGGACTGTCAGTTGAAACCTTAACGACACACAGAATGTGTATGGATTCACTCTGCTGTAAACAGTGTGATGTTTTGTAAAGCTGTGTAACTGGTTAAAGCCCTTTTCACAGTCGCTTCACTGGAACACTTTCACTTGAGAGGGCTTGGGAGTGTTTGTCTGTGTATCTCACGGATTTTACAGCCACACTGATGTTTAAAATTTTTTGAAGAGAGAATATACAAACAGTTCTCCTTCCAAACTTAAAGACTGATGATAGTCAGGTCCCAATGAAGCAGTGACTCTATCAGATCTCCAGGTGACATTTGCTGTGAGATTTGTCTGTAAATCTTGCCCTTTTAATGTTCTGTAAAATGAATGTATAAAAGTCATTACTGTCAGTACAGCACAAAAATTCACAGCATATAATTCTTGATCCTATTGAATATTCTTGCCTGTCTCATTCTCCAAGCTACAAGTCTCCATGCCATGTACGTTTCCTGAATTCTTACTCCCAGTACCTAGTATATGCCCTCCCAAATCACCTGAATATGACAACTCAAGGTGATCAACAGATCCATGATTACCATCTCCAGTGCAATACTTGGAGATACGAAGCTCATATATTTATAGTACCAGACTGAAACTGTGTGCCACATACCATACTGTATTAGTCATTTTGGAGGTACGTGAGTATTGTAAAGAATAACTTTATTAAGGCAATGAGTTGTCATGACCTAGAACTCTTTGCCTATATAGCTGGTGGAAGCAGAGATGATCAATGATTTCAAAGCAAAATTGCTCAGGTACTTAAATAATCTTGCAAGGCTATGGGGAAATAAGGGGTGAGTGGGACAGAATGGATTGCTCTACATGAGCTTTAGCATGGATTTATGTTACTAGTTAGGCTTCTTCTGTGCCTTAATAACTCTACAGCTGGAAACAGACATTTAACCTGGAAATAACACTATAACTGGTTCGGTGGATTGGTGGATACTAAATTATGTCAATGTGTTCACGGATGTGTGGACTAGGCGGATTAGCCATGTTGAATGCGTGATGATAAGGAAAGAGTGGGGCCTCTACCTGCACTCGAGGGATTCAATGATTCTACGAAGTATATGCAGGGCCGTATTACGAGGCCAGAAATAAAAGCAAATGTACTTTATCTAGGAACCGTTAATTAGATATCTAATTATGCCTTATTATACCAGCAGGCATACCATATCCCCCTCTTAAATGTGGGGCACTACTTAAACCATCACTTTAATTGTGAACTTCAGGATAAAGGCCCTATGATTTTCGCTACATAAATAAATGCGTCAAGATGAGACAGTAAAAAAATGGCAAGAGAGACAGACTTGGACCAACCTTTTCAGATTCTGCAGGTTCCCTGGATTCACTTTCTCTTTCTTTCAGTTCCTTCAAAAGAACAATTTAACCGTAAGCTGAGAACAGACACAGAAAAGGGAGGAACACTGCTTTCCTTCCGGAAGTTGCACAGAAGAGGAAGTTTCACACTGAAGCTCCAAGCACCGCTTCCGTATTGCGACGTCACAATGGAACGCTGATACGAATGAGCCTACCCCCAGCTCCCACTTCGAGCCAGGGTTTCCTGGCAACTGGAGGAAGGGTCAAAATTGTTTCAGAGATAGTAGGAACTGCAGATGCTGGAGAATCTGAGATAACAAAGTGTAGAGCTGGATGAACACAGCAGGCCAAGCAGGATCAGAGGAGCAGGAAGGCTGACGTTTCGAAACCGAACCTGTGTCTTGTGCCTGACATAGAATCCCTACACTGCAGATAAAGGCCATTCGACCTTTCAAGTTTGCACCAAATTTTCCGAAGAGCACACCACCCGATCCCTCTAAACTTTTATTTAACTCGGTTAATCCACCTAACCAGCATATCTTTGGACCGTGGGAGGAGCTGGAGCATCCCGAGGAATTGAAACCAAAAGGACTGCGGATGCTGTAAATCAGGAACAAAAGCAAAGTTGCTGGAAAAGCTCAGCAGGTCTGACAGCATCTGTGAGGGAGAAAACAGAGTTAATGTTTCGGGTCCGCTGACCCTTCCTCAGAACCTGATTGATTGATGATTTATTGTCACGTGTACTGAAGTACAGTGAAAAGCTTTGTTTACAAGCAGTACAGGCAGATCATAGTAAGCCAGGATGTACAGATCAAAACAGCTTAGACAGAGACACACAGGTTATATTGCACAGGGTGTACACCAGGTGAGATCAACATTACCAAGATCAGCATGTTTTTGAGGCTAGAGAGTACATTGATCCATAACGGCTGGAAAGAAGCTGTTCCTGAACCTGCTGGTGTGTGTGATCAGGCTTCTGTATCTTCTGCCTGACAGAAGACGTTTAGGAGATCATTACCAGGGTGTGATGGGTCTTTGATGATGTTAGCAACCTTTCCATGGTAGTGAGCCATGTAAATAGAGTCCATGGATGGAAGGGGCCTGATCTGAAACGTCAACTTTCCTGCTCCTCTGATGCTGCCTGTCCTGCTGTGTTCTTCCAGCTCCATAATGTGTTATCTCTGACTTCTGTGATGGCTTGGGTTGTGCACACCATCTCCTGTAGTTTCTTATGGTCCTGGGCAGAGCAGTTGCCATACTAGACAGTACGCTTTCAATTGAGCATCTGTAAAAGTTGGTGAAGTTCCTTATGGACATACCAATTTCCTGAGCCACCTGAGGAAGAAGAGGTGTTATTGTGCTTTCTTGACTGTTGCATCTATGTGGGAAGTGCAGGACAGGTTTTCAGTTATCCTCACCCCGAGGAACTTGACGCTGTTCATCCTCTCAACCTCAGTTCTGTTGCTGTAGATGGGTCATGTTCTCCTTTCTTTCTGAAGTCAATGATCAGTTCTTTAGTGAGTCCATGGTGCTTGAGGCAGCAGTGCTAACCGCCCAGCCACTGTGCCAACCTTAAGTAAGAACCTGTGCATCGATCATACTACCTCTCGTGTGCTAAGTAAGTGTTCTAATATTTGTGTCAGGGAAAGCCTCCTTCCCCAGGAAATTGAGAGAGTTATGGAGGATCTGGAGCTGGAATGAGGACCATTCTCTACGTGGGGGTTGGTAAAGTGTTGCTGATTATGTGGACAATTGCATCAATGACTGATGCTGAAACCCATACTGACTATTGATATACTCTGAATATATGCTTCATTGATAAAGGTAAAAGTGCTGTAGTTCTACCGGCTGCTCTCTTATCAGAAACAGAGATGACTGGTGGTAGTTTAAGCCAAGGCTCAAGTGAGGGGAAAGATTGAAAAAGGAGAGCCCTTCATGGTAACCTCAGCTGGTGCAGGAATTGAACCCATATTGTTGGTGTTTCTCTGCATCCTAAACCAGCTATTGAGCTAACCAACTTCCACGCTTCATTGATGTGTGATGTGAACTGTGGGATTTATGTGCATATTTCGGTCCTACTTTTGATTTAGTCTCCACTGAGTATTTTTTTCAGTATCAGAAATTTATAGTTAATAGGTAATATGTCACCATGGCAATTTCTTTTAAAATCATTTTTGAAGCCTGGCTGTAGAGTGAATAGTTTGTGTGCACTAATGATCTTTTGTTTATTTTAGAATGCTCATGAGTGTGCATGGTAAATAATAGGGCCTCAAAGGTTTGTTACACAGCTCCAGAATTTTTGAGCTTAAGGAAAATGCCCATAAGTGGGGTAGTGTTTACATTGTTATGAGAAAATAGTGAATGCAGGTACAGTTAAAAGACACTTGGTTAAATACATGAATAGGAAAGGTTTGGAGGGATATGGGCCAAACCTAGGCAATTGGGACTTAGTTTAGTTTGGGAATGTCGGATCAAAGGGTTTGTTTCCATGCTGTATGATTCTGTAGCAAACGATAGAGGCTAATGGATAAATAGTAGTATATATAAAGGAACTTTTAGTTTCACTTTAAAGTTGTAGTGTTTAAGCTCTGTGATATTTTGGAACAGGTGGCTGTGTAGCATAATGCTTCTGAAAAGGGAATGGTAGATTTGGTAAATTAAATTACCTTTAAATGTAAAAGTAGCATTAGTTCCCAGACCAGAGGTGTTGGGATAAAAACCTGGATGTGGATATTTAAGCTGAGTACCTTGGATCTGAGGAGTGAGGTAGCTCTAGGAAGACAATATTGCAGTAGCCCTAGGAAGAAGATATTTCAGTTCTAGTCTAAAAGCTAAAGTCACAAGTAACTTAAATCTCCCAAGTTAGATTCAGTAATCCTGGTGAGTGTATTATAGAGGTGGTGTTTTGGGTACTGTACCAGAACAGGTGTTTTAAGAACTGTACCTTCAGTTCTTGTCTAAAAGTTAAAGTCACAAGTAACTTAAATCTCCCAAGTTAGATACAGTGATTCTGGAGTGTGTATTATAGAGGTAGTGTTTTGGGTACTGTACCAGAAGAGGCGTTTTAAGAACTGTACCAGGAGTGACGTTTGGATATTATACAGAATTTGTTTTGGTACTTTGCAATTTATAAATGAGTGTTTTGGAATTTACAAGATTGTAGTTTTACTCTATGTTAAAAATCTTTGAATTTTTATTATAAGTAAATAGAGTAGAATGACCCAAACTATTGCTTCTTTTGTAGTAAACTTCCATTTTGTTGTTAAGACAAAATCTGCAACATTGCATACTTATGTGGTATTATCACTAGACTACTAATCCAGAGATCGAGAATGTTCTGGGGACCCGGGTTCAAATACCACCATGGTAGATGTTGGAATTTGAATACAATAGAAAAAAGTCTAGAATTAAGCGTCTAATGATGACCATGAATACATGTCTGATCTCGTAATAATTCATCTGGTTCAGTAATGTCCTTTAGGGAAGGAAACTGCGATCCATACCAATAGTATATAACCTCATTGCAAGAG